TTCCAATCAGATCCCAGGAAGATGTTCATCTTCTTCCCCAGGAGAAAATAAAAAGACTTTGAAGTAAACATACTTCCATTCGAGGGAAAAGGAGAAACATAAGAGGAGGCAGGGCTTCCCTGGTGGTTCAGCGGTAAAGAATATGCCTGCCAATGCAGCAGACTCGGGTTCAATCTCTGGGCTGGAAGATTCCCTGGAGTAGGAAATGGCAACCCACTCCAGTATTCTTGCCTGGGAAACCCCATAGACAGAGGAGACTGTCAGGCTATTGTCCAAGGGGATCACAAAGACTCAGACATAACTTTGCAACTAAACAACAGCAACAAAGAGGAGACACTGGAGGCAATTTAAAAAATCAGATGCAACCAGACCTAGGCTATGCCCTAAATAAGTGCACTAGCATAAACCTCTTTGATGGTGTTAGGATCTCTCATAAGTACCATTTCAATATACAATTGTTGTTCCTTACCTCTCTCAAGAATTAACACCCTTAAACATTCTAAGACGAAACCTGCAAGCATCAAGCATAAGCTGTCCTTCATAGACAGTAATGTTCACTCAAACCTGTGGAGTTTGCAAAGTACCTTCACATATGACATTTCACTGAATTCACCTCTTTGTTAGGTAATGACAGTAATTTGATAATCCCAGTTTACTGATGAAGAATGATTAGGACTTGCCTAAACTCAAACAATTTGAGACAAGAAGAGCTTCCAACATCATGTGACACCAAATTCTAGACTTTTTCCATACCATTCTGTACCTCCTCATTCCACATCAAAAAGTCACAAAACTATCCTGTCTGCCCCATTTGCACATGTTCATTACTAGCACTCTAGGAACAATTGTCAGCTAATTACGACATCATGAATTATAAGTACAAAGGGGAAAGAAAACAAACTCAGCATTTTTTCTGGGAGGCCTGGCACTCTGTTCACTACCCAAGCTAAACCTGGCCTGATGTAGTTGTTACAACAGCCCTTCAGGTGGGTGCTGGTATTCCCTGCTCACATCAGGAAAGAAAGGCTTAGCAACTTGACTAGGGTCACACATTAAATGATGTGTGCTGTGCTGTGCTAAATCGCTTCAGTCATGTCTGACTCCTCGACCCCGTGGACCGTAGCCCACCAGGCTCCTCTTGTCAATTGAATTAGCAGTGATTTTAACCATGTGTATGCTATACCACACTGCCTTACTTGATACCACAGTAAACACCGTTGGCAGTAAAACAGAAATATTTTTTAGGTTAAAGTACTTTTGTATTTTAAAATGTCCAAAAACCACCTTCCTACTTATTGCTGTCCTACATTCACTTCCCAGCTGAGCACCTTTTCTCCTTCATTTTCTCTGCTTTACTCTTAATATCTACTGGACTCACTGTGCCCTGGAAAAGGGGTTAGCTGTTAGAACAAAAAACCAATGATGTGTCCTTAACAAACAGAATTGTTTATAAGGCCACAGGATTCATGCAAGTATTTTTGCCCTAGGTCTAAGTTAATTCTATCAAATAGTATGTGCCAGGGAATCCCCTGGCAGTCCAGGGGTTAGGACTCTGCGCTTTCACTCCCACAGCCCCAGTTCAATTCCTGGTCAGGGAACAAAGATCCTATAAGCCTCCCAGCATGACCAAACAATATTTAAAAGAAAAAACAAACAAGAAAAAAATGCCACACAAATAGCGTGTGTCAGTTAAAAGAAATGTGAGCCTGCCTAAACAACTGGAAAATAAAAACAGTGAACAAACTAAGGACAATCTATCATTTTTAAAAAATTGTTTTTCTTCCAGTTTTATTGAAATATAATTGACATACAGCACTGTAAGGTGTACAGTATAATGATTCGGCTTACATATATCATGAAATGATAATCACAGTAAGTTTACTGAATGGTCCACCAGCTCATAGAGATATAAAATTTAAAAAATAGAAAAAAAAATTTTTTGTTATGAGAACTCTAAAGAGTTACTCTCTTAAAAAAAAATTTACTCTCTTAACTTTCATATATAACATACAATAGTGTTAACAACTGCACTATACATTTAATTTCTAGTACCTGTTTATCTTATAATTGGAAGGTTGTACTTTTTGACTGCCTTCACCCAATTCCTCACTGCTCCCCCACCCGACCTCTGCCTCTGATAACCATGTATGTGATCTCCTTTTCTATGGAACATTATATCATCATAATCATCACATTTGAGGGCTTTAACCAATCCAGACAAGATATAGGAACTACAACAAAATGCACAAAAGTAATCTCATCTGACCTCTTACCACATTTTTGGTGAAACATTAGGAATAGAGAGCATTAGCCTCAAATACTTTGTGCTCTTCCCCTCAGGTGTTAACTGCTAAAGAACAATGATAGATAAAATGTAAATATGATAACTTAAATAGTTTTAAATTTGGGAAGATTACTGAAAGACTTCCTAAAACAAAATTTAATTAGCTTTAAGAAGTGAAGGTGTATTTATGACTCCCAAAGGGGGTTTCCTTCTGAAGCAAACAGGAGGAACTTTCTGTTGTGTAAGTTGCATTCATAATACACAAATAAGCTAATAAGGCTATTAACCACAACTCTATCTACCTTCTGGGAACAAGAAAGAAAAGCTAACACTACCTGAGCTAAACTGGAGGAGCAGGAAAAAGCCTACTACAAGACTCGAAAGGGACAGGAGTATATAAAAAGCAAACAGGAAGGACTGAGCTAGAGGAACTGTGAGGGGGAGGGGGGGTAAGGGGCAAAGAAAGCTGGAACCCAGGAAGTACTGATGGAGATGGGCTACTTATGCCTAGAACCAGAAGGATCACCAGAGCTGCCCTGTGGAAAGGGTCCTGCTCTTCTATAAACTAAAATTAAGATAAAGGAAATAAACTGGTCAAGTCTAGAGAAAATGGGGTTCATGTAAGACAAAGGGGAACATACAACACAAGGAAAACCAGTAAAGAGGAGGCTTTTATCGCCTTAAAAAAAAAAGTTCTAATGAACTTTAAATGGATGAATTGTATGGCATGTGAATTATATTTTAGAAAATGTTTTTATTTTTTTAAATGTTATTTTTAATAAGCGTGTTAAATTGAGCAATGTATGACTGCATTTATCATTTAATCAACATGCTTAGCTCAGTCTGTAATAGCACCTCCCTGCCGTCCTCCTCCCCCCACCCCCCCCCAACAAATTCCCTCACTCTGTAGGGTACATTTACTTGGGAATATCTCTGTCCGAAAACATCAGTCTAGGAAGGAGACAAGACTATGGTGAATACAGCAGTAGCAGTAGGGAAAAAAACTGTTAACTCTTTTAAGAGCTCTTCCCCCCATTTTTGCCCTGTGAAGGAAGGAAGCTTTTGTTTGGGGGTATGCCTCGAAGTGGAATATCAGATGTCTCCATGAGATGATCTAGGGCCAAACTCTACCTAGTCAAAGAGAAAATGATACGAGGTGAAGTCAAGTCAGTCCTGGAGAAACCCCAGAAGGCTTATCGTGAAATGATCCCAAGTCTTATCTCTGCTACCCCCAAACTGGACGGCACGCCCCGTGCCACTTCGCGAAGAGTTACTCGCGAAGACGATGGATGCTTTGCCAGGATCCCAGAAGTTTCTGGCGAGTTGCCCACTGACGTAAATTAGAAAACCATTCAGGGACCGGGCTGGGTGAAGCGAAGCGCCACGTCCAGCGCAGGGCTCCCCCTTCCTCCCTCTAGACGTAGGAAAAGGGATGGGGTAGGGAGGGCAGAAGGCGAGCGGGAACGCCAGATCAGCCGTCTTCGCCCTCCTACCCTGGGCCGGGTTTCTGGGAGCCGCCCCCAGCGTACCCCATTCCCACTCGCCCGCCTTGGGCCCACGACCCCCCGAGATGAGGGCGGCGGCGAGCGCCCCCAGGGGCCGCAGGCGCACCTCCTCCGGGGCAACTGTCGCCACCACCCGCCCGGCCAGGGCCTCCCCGGGAGCAATAGGCTATCGATTCAGCTGCCTGTCGCTAGGAGCCCCGGGAGAGCGAGGCCTACAACGCCCGGCCGGAGCCCCGGCCTCGATTTCGCTACCTACCCCACACCGGAGGGGGAGCCGGGGGAGTTGGGGGGGGGCAACCAAGCCCAGGTGGGCGGGAGGAGGAGGCGCGGAGACCACCTGCAACGGGTAGGCGCGGGGGAAAGGGGGTGCGGGCTCGCGGCTCCCGCCAACCAGCCTCCCGGGGTCGCCCCCCTACCCCCCCCCCACTCCCTGCCCTCACAAGTTGCGCATTCGCAAGTTCAGGCCGGTGCCCCTTGGCCTTCCAGAGTCCTCGGCACTCCCGAAACCAGAAAAAAAACAACACGGAAGAGGCCACCCCCAGGACCCGAAGAGATGGCGCTGGGGCCCCTGAGGGCGCCGAGGGGGGCGGCCCACAGGGACCCGCCCGTCACCTCCCCTCGGCTTAACCGGAGTCGCAGCCCCGACCCCTCCCAGCGGCCAGCCCTGTCACCGCCCTACCCCCGGCCCCCCCAAGGCCCCTTCCCAGGACGCCGGCGACAGGGGCTCGAGCTCCCCCTCCCTTCCCCCAACCTCGGCCTCAGGCGCGCCTCGGCCTCCTCCCCCTCCAAATCGCCCAAAGGCCCCCCGCACCTTTTAAAGTACTCGAAGGAAGAGTTTCCCATCAAACTTTGTCAGGCCGTAACCTCGCCCGCCCCCCCCCCCTCCTCGCCGACCCACACTTCCAGGGCAGTCATCAGGACAGACCACTTTACACTCGGGATGAAGCGAATTAAGGACCTGTCAACCATTTTAGGTCTTTTTTTTTAAATAGAAGACACCCTCTTCTTCCCCCTTCCACCCTCCCCCTGCCAGGGTTTTAATCTGACACCCACCTTCCCACCGCCGAAGAAGGAGGGGGGGTGGTGTGGGTTGAGGAGGGAGGGGGTAGGGACGGAGAGCAAGAGGAGGGTGGCGAGAGAGAGAGAGAGAGCGGAAAGGGGAGGCTGGAAGGGGGCCGGGAGGCGTGGGGAGGGGAAGGGGGTTGATTTACCTGAGACCAGCCACTGGCCTCCATTGTTGGAGAATTCAATGGCATTGACACAGCCGAAGTGGCCGAGGAGGTCCTTCTTGTAGAGGTTTCTGCAGCCTCGCAGGCGTCTCCTCTGAAAGTCCTGAGTGAGCAGGGGGTCCCCATGCAAGCCCCGCTGGGACAAGAAGCCCACCACTGACCTCATGCTGCCCCCCAGGCCAGCTCTCCTCTTCATGCTGGAACCGCCGCCGCCGCCGCCGCCGCCGCCGCTCGCTCGCGCCGCCGCCCCTCCCTCGGCCTCACGCGCGGCCGCCGCTCTCCACCACCAACCCCCCACCCGGCCCTCCCCCCGCGCTGCGATCCGGCTGGTTCTTTTAACCAGCCATAGCAAGAGACAGAGCGAGGTGTGCAGACACTCGGTGGCGTTCGCGGCTTCCTGACGGTCCCCTCCCTCCCCTTCCCTCCACCCCCCACCTCCCCTAGACTCCTCCCTCTCCTTCTCCGCCTCCTCCAGCAGCTGATCCACAGCTGCGGTCGCGCTTCCGCGATGCGCGCGGCCCTTCCGCCGGCCGCGGGGGGCCGGGAGAAAGCTGGCGGCGACGGCCCCTCCCCCGCCGCGGGCTGCGGGGCCGGAAGAACGCGGGCGGCTGGCCTTGAGACCGCGGGCGGCGGCTGGGGCTTTCGCACCACAGCTCCTCCCCCGTGCGAGGACCTGGGTCGCACTGGGCGGAGGCTGGGCTGCACCCCACCCGCCCCCTCCCTGAGCGGTGCACTCTGTGAAGTTGGAGGCGCGCAACAACCAAAGTGGTCGCGGGTCTGCGGACTCGCCTTCCTCCCCTGGCGGCCCACATTCCATCGCCGCCCGGATGCCCGGCGGGTGCCGGGACGAGGGTGCTCCCTGCTCTTTTTTTTTTTTTTTTTTGCCTCCAGTCCGGAAAATGCAGCCCGAGGTGGCACACAGGTGGAGGGAGGATTGCAGAGGCTCAGGTCGTTCTCCCTCAGTTCGCCTCATCCTTGGGCCGTCCGAGTCCTGTCCAAGAGAAAGGAATTGGGAGTTAGGACTGGACACTTGGGGGTAAGGTTGCTTGAAAGTGAAAGTCGCTCAGTCGTGTCCCTACTTTGTGCGACCCCATGGACTATACAGTCCATGGAATTCTCCAGGCCAGAATACTGGAGTGGGTAGCCTTTCCCTTCTCCAGGGGATCTTTCCAACCCAGGGATTGAACCCGTGGCTCCCGCTCTGTAGGCGGATTCTTTACCACCTGAGCCGCAAGAGAAGCCCAAGGTTACTTAACGCCCCCCAAAGGTATTTTTAACACCACCCTTCCCCCCATTCAGTTCCCTAATTTTCCCTTTCTCCATCCATTCAGTGAAAAAGGCTGAACTGGGTTCCATCGGTTAGATGATAAAGTGGTATATTGGTGGTGGGGGGGCGGGTAAGTTTTTCAGATCTGGCAAGAAAATTGCCAAAACCGAGTTGAGAAAGGTCCAGGTGAACAGAAAGGACTTCTGTTCATTAGTTCCAGGTACATCTGCAAAATACAGGACCGCGTTATTCGAAAATAATACTACATGTTATTTAATTGGGTGTGGTGAGGTCCTCTTCAAGGTCTTGAGTGTGGAGCTCTGAGACTGTACAGCTGTTAACTAGCAGCTTCCTACCAGGCCGGAAGCAGCTGCATTTTAGTGGCCTGGAGCCGGAGCCTCTGCAGTGACTCCAGTGAGGAGAGTGTTAAGTGCTTTGGAATTTTATCAGATACTGTAAAAAAAAAAGTCACCTTATTCAGTGCATTGTATTAGGTTGGGGCAAAAATAATCGTGCTTTTTGGACCATGAATTTTAAATCATAATCACGCTCAAACTCATTATTAATCAAAATAGAGGCTATTACAATCAACACACTTTTGCTCACAAAAAATAACTTTGTTTATTCCTGTAGCATAAAAATCTGTGCTTTGGAATATGAGGAACTTTTGGAAAGCGTTTCTGCATCCTGCTGGTTGTGAAAGCATTTTCCCTGCAAAAGGTTATTGAGATGCTTGAAGAAGTGGTAGTCAGTTGATGAGAGGTCAGGTGAACATGGCCAATGAGACAAAACTTCATAGCCCAATTCGTTCAACTTTTGAAGCATAGTTGTGTGAGGTGCAGTCAGGTGTTGTCATGAAGAAGAATTGGGCCCTTTTCTGTTGTCTGTTGACTAATGCTGGCTGCAGGCATTGCAGTTTTTGGTGCATCTCATCGATTGGCTGAACATACTTAGAGATATCATGGTTTTGCCAGGATTCAGAAAGCTGTAGTGTATCAGATTGGCAGCAGACCCTCCCAAACAGTGACCATGACCTTTTTTTGTTGTTGAAAGTTTGGTTTTGGGTTGTGCTTTAGGAATCACTGAACTAAAATGGACCGGAATGGGTGAATTTACTTAAAATGACCATTATATGTATAACTGTGGGCAAGAATCCCTTAGAAGAAATGGAGTAGCACTCATAGTCAACAAAAGAGTCTGAAATGCAGTACTTGGGTACAGTCACAAAAATGACAGAATGATCTCTGTTCGTTTCCAAGCCAGACCATTCAATATCACAGTAATCCAACTCTATGCCCCAACCACTAATGCCAAAGAAGCTGAAGTTGAACGGTTCCATGGTGACCTAACAAGACCTTCTAGAACTAACACCAAAAAAGATGTCCTTTCATCATAGGGGACTGGAATGCAAAAGTAGGAAATCAAGAGATACCTGGAGTAACAGGCAAGTTTGGCCTTGGAGTACAAAATGAAGCAGGGCAAAGGCTAACAGAGTTTTGCCAAGAGAATGCACTGATCATAACAAACACCCTCTTCCAACAACATAAGAGAAGACTGTACACATGGACATCACCAAATGGTCAATACCCAAATCAGATTGATTATATATTTGCAGCCAAAGATGGAGAAGCTCTATACAGTCAGCAGAAACAATCAGGAGCTGACTGTGGCTAAGATCATGAACTCCTTATTGCCAAATTCAGACTTAAATTGAAGAAAATAGGGAAAACCACTAGACCATTCAGATATGACCTAAATCAAATCCCTTATGATTATACAGAAGTGACAAATATATTCAAGAGATTAGATTTGATAGAGTGCCTGAACTATGGACGAAGGTTCGTGACATTGTACAGGAGGCAGTAATGAAGACCAGCCTCAAGAAAAAGATGTGTGAAAAGGCAAAATGGTTGCCTGAGGAGCCCTTACAAATAGCTGAGAAAAGAAGAGAAGCTAAAGGCAAAGGAGAAAAGGAAAGATATACCCATCTGAATGCAGAGTTCCAAAGAATAGCAAGGAGAGATAAGAAAGCCTTCCTCAGTGACCAATGCAAAGAAACAGAGGAAAACAATAGAATGGGAAAAACTGGAGATCTCTTCAAGAAAATTAGAGATACAGAGGGAACGATTCATGCAAAGATGGGCACAATAAAGACAGAAATGGTATGGACCTAACAGAAGCAGAAGATATTAAGAAGAGCTGGCAAGAATAAACAGAAGAACTATATAAAAAAGATCTTCATGACCCAGATAACCACGATGGAGTGATCACTCACCTAGAGTCAGACATCCTGGAATGTGAAGTCATGTGGGCCTTAGGAAGCATCGCTACGAACAAAGCTAGTGGAGGTGATGTAACTCCTGTTGAGCTATTTCAAATCCTAAACGATGATGCTGTGAAAGTGCTGCACGGAAAACTCAGCAGTGGCCACAGGACTCGAAAAGGTGTTTTCATTCCAATCCCAAAGAAAGCCAATGCCAAAGAATGTTTAAACTATCAAACGATTGCACTCATTTCACATACAAGCAAAGTGATGCTCAAAATTCTCCAAGAGAGGAGGCTTCAATAACCAAGAACTTCCAGCTTTTAAAGCTGGATGTAGAAAAGGCAGAGGAACCAGAAATCAAATTGCCAACATCCGTTTAATTATAGAAAAAGCAAGAGAGCTCCAGAAAAACATCTACTTCTGCTTTATTGAGTATGCCAAAGCCTGTGTGGATCACACAAACTGGAAAATTCTTAAAGAGTAGGGAATATCAGCCCACCTTACCTGCCTCCTGAGAAATCTGCATGCAGGTCAAGAGTTAGAAGCAATAGTTGGAACTGAACATGTAACAACAGACTGGTTCCATATTGGGAAAGACGTACGTCAAGGCTGTATATTGTCACCCTGCTTCTTTAACTTATGTACAGAGAACATCATGTGAAATGCTGGGCTGGATGAAGCACAAGCTGGAATCAAGATTGCCAGGAGAAATGTCAATAACCTCATATATGCAGATGACACCACCCTTATGGCAGAAAGTGAAGAAGAACTAAAGAGCCTCTTGATGAAAGAGGAGAGTGAAAAAGCTGGCTTAAAGATCAACATTCAAAAAACTAAGATCATGGCATCCAGTCCCATCACTTCATGGCAAATAGATGGGAAAACAGTGGTATCAATGACAGACTTTATTTTCTTGGGCTCCAAAATCACTGCAGATGGTGACTGTGACCAAGAAATTAAAAGATGCTTGCTCCTTGTAAGAAAAGCTATGACCAACCTTGATAGCATATTAAAAAGCAGAGACATTACTTTACCAACAAAGGTCTGTCTAGTCAAGGCTATGTTTTTTCCATTAGTCATGTATGGATGTAAAAGTTGGACCATAAAGAAAGCTGAGCGCCTAAGAATTGATGCCTTTGAATTGTGGTATTGGAGAAGACTCTTGAGAGTTCCTTGGACTGCAAGGAGATCCAACCAGTCAATTTAAAGGAAACCAGTCCTGAATATTTTTGGAAGGACTGATGCTGAAGCTGAAGCTCCAATACTTTGGCCACCTGATGTGTAGAACTGACATTGGAAAAGACCTTGATGCTGGGAAAAATTGAAGTCAGGAGGAAAAGGGGACAACAGAGGATGAGATGGTTGGATGGCATCACCCACTCGATGGACATGAGTTCGATCAAGCTCCGGGAGTTGATGATGGTCAGGGAAGCCTGGCGTGCTGCAGTCCATGGGGTTGCAAAGAGTTGGACATGACTGAACAACTGAACTGAACTTGGAGCTTCTTCTCAGTCCAATCACTGAATTGATTGTTGCTGGGAGCCATATAAAATCCACTTTCATCACATGTCACAATCCGATCAAGAAATGGTTCATTTATTGTTTCGTAGAATAAGAGAAAATGACAATTATTTTGATTTGAAGTCAGCTTACGAGACTCCCATTTATCAAGCTTTTTCACCTTTCCAATTTGCTTCAAATGCTAAATGACCATGGAACAGCTGATGTTGAGTTCTTTGGCAACTTCTCACGCAGTTGTAAGAGGATCATCTTCAATTATGCTCTCAGTTAGTTGGTCATTGTCAACTTCTGATGGCTGGCCACTGCGCTTCTCATCTTCAAGGCTCCTTTGCAAAACTTCTTGGACCAACACTGCACTGTACATTCGTTAGCAGTTCTTGGTCCAAATGCGTTGTGGGTGTTGTGAGTTGTCTCCACTGCTTTACGACCCGTTTTGAACTCAAAACATCACTCAAATTCGCTTTTTGTCTAACATTATTTCTGTAATATAAAATAAATATAAAATAAACAGTAAGTAGTACAGAGTTGGACACGACTGAAGTGACTTAGCAGCAGCAGTAGTAAGTTATTTGCTGGGAAAAATTGAGGGCAAGAGGAGAAGGGGAAGACAGAGGATGAGATGGTTGGATGGTATCACTGACTGAATGGACATGAGTTTTGAGCAAACTCAGGGAGATAGTGATGGACAGAGAAGCCTGGCTTACTGCAATTCAT